TTTATGGCACTCCAGGAAAAAATGAGGCACAGTTAGTCTGTATGTCTCAAGGCCGACGCATGAATATGAGAATCTCTGAATTAGAGACATGATTTAATCGTGGCAGTGCTCCTGATTTGACTGATAGTGGCTGTGTGTGTGTGTGTGTGTGTGTGTGTGTGTGTGTGTGTGTGTGTGTGTGTGTGTGTGTGTGTGTGTGTGTGTGGTGTGTGTGTGTGTGTGTGTGTGTGGTGTGTGTGTGTGTGTGTGTGTGTGTGTGTGTGTGTGTGTGTGTGTGTGTGTGTGTGTGTGTGTGTGTACTGCAGACCCTATGAAACGTCCACACTTCCTGCTCTTTGGGTCCAAGTACCATCACTTCAGTGTCATCATGAGGCATTAAGGACTCCAGTCCGTGCTCCACAACAGCATAATGAAGTGTGTCCTCACTCTGGAATCCATAAAACCAACATTATGATAAGCTGGGGGTCCAGGGTGTCCAGGTGCACCACATGTCCTGCCCCCTCCTCTGCTGTCACACATGAAGGAGAGATTAAAGTGCATCATCTGTAGAGACAGTGTGTGTTATAGCAGGATTCCTCGGAGCAGTGTAACACACACGGAGCACCGCAGGACTCTGACAGCTCCTGTGTGTTCACGTTGATTGATGAGCCCTACTCCAAATGTTTTTTCAGCCAAATCAGTGGGAGTTTAAGTGCCTCGTGCATGCTAATACCAAACACAACATTAGCTGAGCCGTCCCAGTGCTAACTCTCTGCTGACATCATCACTCATCTCTCCGCATGACTCCGGCACTCAGAGGGGTGGAGATGGGAGGCAGACACCATTACTGATAATACTACACATGGTGCACAAGCTTTATGGAAACGGTGATTTGATCTGTTTTGGGTCAGCGACTCTGGACCTTAAGATGTTGGGTTTCATCTCTTAAAGCCAGGGTTGGGAGGATTACAACATATTAAAGTCATGTTCTGTTACTTATGCATTACCTCAATAAGACAAGAGAAACCAAAAACAATGAGATGGTTGATCTGATAGACGAATCAGATAACTTTCCAGAGAGCGGAGACCCCCTGTGTCCCCAATAACAATTTCGTCAGACGTTTGTTTTGCATGAAAAACGGCTAATAACGCTCCAAACAACTTGATCAAGTCCTAACATTTCAGAAGCTAATAATGGTCTTAAATGTGATGATTTCCCTTGTTTTTCTTCTCGTACATCTGAAGACTCTGATCCATCCAGTCTCATTTCCATCAGCAGAAATCCATCCAGCGACTCAGGATAAGCCACTGGGAATCCAGTATATCTGCCATTAGCTCCCCACAGCTCTGTGAGCCACCACGGCGGAAAACTGAATATGAAATCTGCCTTAGGAGAGCAGCAGAGGGCTGGAGGGCCCCTAATGGCTTCATGTGGCCCCCTAATGGCATCATGTGGCCCCTCACTGTGTTCATCTCAGAGCAAGCCAAGCTCATCCTCTCCCTACAGGGCAGATAATGCAATTACACACCCTCAGATCTGCAGGGGGCTCCCTCTGTCTCCATCTCCACCTCAGTGTGTGTGTGTGTGTGTGTGTGTGTGTGTGTGTGTGTGTGTGTGTGTGTGTGTGTGTGTGTGGTGTGTGGTGTGTGTGTGTGTGTGTGTGTGTGTGTGTGTGTGTGTGTGTGTGGTGTGTGTGTCTGTGTGTGTGTGGTGTGTGTGTGTGTGTGTGTGTGTGTGTGTGTGTGTGGGACTGCTAGGTCTCATGCTCTAGATTTACGGTTAATCAATCATGGTGCCGCCTTAATGACACCCTGCTGCTTCCCTAATGTCTTCTGGCAGAGCAGCCCGCCGCTGGCACAGAGCTCATGCAGGCACACATATGGCCGCCTCAAGTGAGTGACAGGACCCCTTTCATGTGAGCTGCCCTGCTCAGGATGCCATCAGCAACACACAGGCGCCGCTGGCTAGGACTGAGAAGGTGATGGAGGGAGGAAAATGAGAAAGGGAAGAGAGGGGAAAGTGTTGAAGAACATTTTGTGTGGCTCTCCTGATTGGCTCAGCCTCCTCAAAGTAAACTGTCAAGAACAATTCAAAATGACAAGTGTCCTGTGCTGAAACCTTTATATATACAGTCTGAAACACCTGCAATGATAGTGGGAAATAACACTGATACATCATGAGGTTCTAAGGAAGGAGCATCCACTAAATACACATGATAACTGGATGCTAAGGACAACATATGTATGTGAATATACTCAGACATTACAGAGGGTTAGAGTTAGAGTTGGTTAGAGTAGGGTATGTTTTTGGGTTGTACATTTCTGAATAATACATGAACTCTCTAAATTCTATGTGTACAGTATTAATGATATTCAAGTATTAACTCAACACACAAAACAGGCCTACGGTAAGAGTATCCTAAAACTGCTTGCTGCAAATGAGATGGTTTAGGAAAGAAGGAAGTAACGTATTTTTTAGATGACAGGTTTCTGGGGTAAAGGATTGCTTCTCATTCCTCTGCAGATATCATGACGTGCAGCCTGAAGGAATGTATCATCGTGTTCAGATTCACTTACCTTCACAGAGCAGCACTTCACCAAATATAGTAGCCGTGTTTTTCTAGCACTCAGAAGCAGCAAGACAACTGGAAATCTGAATTGACGTTAATCCCAATCTGACACGGCCTTTACCCCAAACACAACCCTGCAGCGGTATCATCACATCCCTCAGAGAGAAGACCATAAAAAGGCCTGTGGATCCAGACCTGTGGCCTCATCCTGGCCCAGTTTAAAGCCTCATTTTGGCCCAGTTTAAAGCCTCATCCTGGCCCGGTTTAGAGCCTCATCCTGGCCCGGTTCAGAGCCTCATCCTGGCCCGGTTCAGAGCCTCATCCTGGCCTCTCATCCTGTTGATCCACTGTTTCTGTGGTGAAGAATTGAGAGGACATCTGCATGCAGGCGGCTGCTCATGGGTTAGGGCCTCATCCTGGTCCGGTTCAGAGCCTCAACCTGGCCCGGTTCAGAGCCTCAACCTGGCCCGGTTCAGAGCCTCATCCTGGCCCGGTTTAGAGCCTCATCCTGGTCTGGTTTAGAGCCTCACCCTGGCCCGCCGTCTTAGAGCCTCACCCTGGCCCAGTTTAGAGCCTCACCCTGGCCCGGTTTAGAGCCTCATCCTGGTCTGGTTTAGAGCCTCACCCTGGCCCGCCGTCTTAGAGCCTCACCCTGGCCCAGTTTAGAGCCTCACCCTGGCCCGGTTTAGAGCCTCATCCTGGTCTGGTTTAGAGCCTCATCCTGGTCTGGTTTAGAGCCTCACCCTGGCCCGTCTTAGAGCCTCACCCTGGCCCGTTTCAGAGCCTCATCCTGGCCCGGTTTAGAGCCTCATCCTGGTCTGGTTCAGAGCCTCATCCTGGCCTCTCATCCTGCTGATCCACTGTTTCTGTGGTGAAGAATTGAGAGGACATCTGCATGCAGGCGGCTGCTCATGGGTTAGGGCCTCATCCTGGTCCGGTTCAGAGCCTCAACCTGGCCCGGTTCAGAGCCTCAACCTGGCCCGGTTCAGAGCCTCATCCTGGCCCGGTTTAGAGCCTCATCCTGGTCTGGTTTAGAGCCTCACCCTGGCCCGTCTTAGAGCCTCACCCTGGCCCAGTTTAGAGCCTCACCCTGGCCCGGTTTAGAGCCTCATCCTGGTCTGGTTTAGAGCCTCATCCTGGTCTGGTTAGAGCCTCACCCTGGCCCGTCTTAGAGCCTCACCCTGGCCCGGTTTAGAGCCTCATCCTGGTCTGGTTTAGAGCCTCATCCTGGCCCGTCTTAGAGCCTCATCCTGGCCCGTCTTAGAGCCTCACCCTGGCCCAGTTTAGATCCTCGTCCTGGCCTCTCATCCTCAGAGCTGATCCACTGTTTCTGTGTTGAGAGGACATCTGCATGCAGGCGGCTGCAGTCGGAGGCCCATCTGTCCATTGGAGCGCTTTCTAATTTATGTTAGTTGTTGTCATCGTTGTCAACACACAGCCCGGCACTCCAGCCATGAAAAAAACAACCCTCCTCGTCAGCTGAAGTGACAGCGGATGAGATCTGGAACTAAAAGAGCAATCCATCATCTGAGAAAACTCCAGTTTGACACACACACACACACACACACACACACACACACACACACACACACACACACACACACACACACACACACACACACACACACACACACACACACACACCTCAGGTGTTTCTTATCAAATACATCCACATACAAAGTAACATATCCATAAATGCATTTTCTCTTTGTATCATGTATATTTGGTCTACTGTACAGTATATATAGTACACTCGGCTGTTCAGGTACTTGTACTTTACTTGAGTATTTCCATGTTATGCTACTGTGTACTTCTACTCCACTACAATTCAGAGGTACATGGTGTACTTTTCCTCCACTACATGTATGTAATACCTTTAGTTACTTCACAGATGTGGATGAATGATGTGAAATATAATCAAGTGTTAAATCAGACTTTAGTTCCACCTGGAGTAAATCCACAAGCTACCCTGCAGTATACAAAGTCATTCAAACTAGCTGCACCTTTACCAGCTTTGAGAACACTTTCATGATCAATCATTATAAAACATATCATATATATTATTCTGAAATGGACCAATCTGCACAATGACTACTTTTACTGTCGCTACTTTCACTATATTTTGATGATAATACTTTCTACTTTTACTTGAGGAACATTTTGAATGCAGGACTTTTACTGTAACAGAGTATTCCTACACTCTGGTACTTCTACTTTTACTCAAGTACAGGATCTGAGTACTTCTACTTTAGTACAGGATCTGAGTACTTCTCCCACCTCTGTGTACATGCAACACATTTTAAGCAGAACCTAAATATTAACGACTCCACCAGAGAGGATATAGAATGAACGTGTTGCATTCATATTGTGAAAGCTGTAAGCACTTGTGTTTCTCAGTGCTAATAAACACTGATAGGTTAGCGCCCCCTACTGGAAGAAGTGCGTGACAGGTACAATCCTTGTGTTTTATTGACATGGCTGTAAAACACTGCTGAACAAAACTCTGAACACATAGTTTACATCAAAAATGTTTATACATCTTAGTCGTGTTGGTCACAAGCTTGGAATCTCAACAACAGAATTCAGACTTAAACTAAACAAAAGAATTTTCAGGGAAAAAAGGAATTGCGATGGAAGTGGAAACTGTCCATGAAATAATATTAAATAGGATTGACTTGTTATTACTGATGTATTACAGGACGTGCAGCAGGATGGAGCTTCTTAAAGACAATACAAACGTTATATATGTCTCACAGAATACTACAGCTCACATGTTCTGTGTTTGAGAAAGGACCATTTTAATCTGGGTTTGTCACTCCCGTCCATCGGGTCAGAAATGTGTGCTATTGTAAAATGGTTTGATTAAAGTGTTCACATTTCTTAATATAAATAAAACACTGAGAAGCCTTTGAAGTGATAATCGTGTGAAAATGTAAAAAAAACAAAAACAGTCTATCAGGGGCCTTGTTAAATCAAGGCGACGGAGCCCACTGAGTTTAATCCTGAAAAGGCAATAAGAAGGAATATAATAACTGGGCGTGCAAACTGTTCAACCCCACAGAGCAGATCATACAAAAACTATACAGATCTCCAGGTAACGGCAGCCAAACCTACACCAACTAAGGCATGTGGAGCTTTCAATATCAGGCTGGTTGTCCGAAACTACTTCCCATAAACCGTCTGAAAGCTAAAACACCCGATCGAACTCCGTCTGACTCGTTGTTGCCGGGTTTCTGTTCTGATTGGGCTGCTGCTGGGGCATGTGGCCTCTCCGTCTGGGCGGGGCCAGGTACTCGAACATGGAGGTGTTGTGTGTGGAGAGCATGTTCTTCAGGTCTGAGGGCATGGGGTCGGACCAGAAGAAGTCGTGGTTGAGTGCGTCGTCGCTGTCTATGCGCTGCGCCGGGTCCAGAACCAGCAGCTTGTCTATCAGGTCCAGAGCGTACGGGTCCTTCACGTAGGCCTTCAGGCGGTCCTTCACTTTCCTCTTTTGCCCTTTAGGAAGCTCCATCTTCTGGTACAGCTCGTACTTCTTATCCACGCCGGGCCACACCTGAGAGAGAGAGAATAACGTTTCAGGATCCAGGCGACAGAGAATACAAATACTGCGTGGGATGACTTTGCAAAGTGTTAGAATAACAGAGGAGACGTTAACTGCAGTATTCATTGCTTTTATGTGTTTCGTATTTATACATTTACACGGCAGGAGGATAACGTATTCCTCAACAGTTCCCACTTCAGTTTGAATGGTGGTGTGTCAGGATTACAGATGTGGAAATGAATGTAAGATCTTGAATGGTCTTACAACCATAGCCGCTTTCACACCAAGTACTTTGCCGTACTTAGTTCCCAGCACTTAGTTCCCAGCACTTAGTTCCCCCATGGAACTAAAGAGCAGATCGCGTTCACACCGGAATAAGTTCCCTGAGGGAAGATTACGCAAATGAAGCCGCTGACGTCACTTCTTCTTCTTCTGCTTTGGGTTTACTGGCAGGCCGCAAACCACTTCACGGCGTATACTGCCACCCGAAGTCCCCGGCCAGAAGTCCCCGGAGTTGGGGACTGGCTTCAGTAGAAGCTGCTGGGACTCCCAGCAGCTTCTACTGAAGCCTTCAGAGTAAATCGCCAGAACGCCGACACCTCATCACTCCACCGCTCCCATGTTTTTTTTTGTGTTGCCATAAGTTGTTCTCTCTCCGTTGGTGCGCGGGGCGAATGCTAATGCTAATAATGCTAATGCCAGCAAATACAATGGCGGCTTCACAAAACTTTTCAGAGTTTTACGGGGCGTGGTTTGCAATTCGCCCAGCCAATCAGAAATTGGAACTTTTGTCTCCCCAGGAAAGTCCCTGCTCTCTAGCAGGGACTAAAAAGGAGGGAAAGGTTCTCATGAACTAAGTTCTCTTTTTGGTGTGAACGCAAAATCCCAGGAACTATCGGAACTAAGCGGGGAAATTACTCCGGTGTGAAGGCGCCTCGTAACAAAAACTGCATTGCTTCAAAAAGTAATTTGCCCCCTGTATGATGCCTGGTGTTATTTTGTTAAAATTGTAAGTATAGTACAGGTTGTTCTTAAAGTATGTCATATTTTATTGAATTCAAGCAGTTGTTGGTATACTGATCCTTTGTTTTAAATACAAATTGTGATTTCTAACATTATTTAGGTCGAGCTCAATGTTTTTTTTGCCTCTTCCTGCACTGTCTGTCATTTGTTATCTGTTGTGTTTGTGTTTTATTAAATTGCAAAACCATTTCTAGATCTTGAAAGTTGTTTTGATCATAAAGTAAAATACTAAATTGTTCACTTCCAGATACCGCTGACTAAATGTCTTGTTCCTTCGTAGATACACTGTGATCTGTACGTAATGCACATGTGTAAATGATAAACTGAGGCATGATATCGTTGAAATTGCACTTATTTTTCAGAAAGATGTCAGGTTGTTCATAATGTTTTGTAGTTCATTAAATGTGAACATTGTACTTTTCTGCACTAAAACAAAAAGGGAAGGAGTTGTGGTTATTTATAAGTTATTATTATGCTATGATTTTACTGCTCCGGCCCACTTGAGATCGAATGTGTCTGGATGTGGCCCCTGAACTAAAACGACCCCCTCCTCTAAAGCCATGTTCCGGTTCCTATGTTACCTCAGCAGTGATGGAGCCGCAGAGCTGGCTGATGAGTGTCAGCTGATGCTGCTCAGTGTTGCCTTGCATTATGGGACTTCTGGTCCACATCTCCGCCATGATGCATCCTGCTCCCCACAGGTCAATGGGCGGGCCGTAGTCTCTCTCACCTAACAGAAGAAAAAGATAAATAAAAAGTTAATAAAACACCTTTTCCAGTCGTTGCAACCCTCGAACGCGCTTTCAGATACAAGTCAGCATTCACTCATTCACACTCATACATACATTCATACAGAGGCTGTGTTCAAGGTGCAGCTGCTCTGTGAAACTAATATCCACACACACACTGTTAGAGCAATTAGACGTTAAGTGTCTTCCCACAGGACACATCAACATGCTTGACCACCGACATTGCGACTGGTGGACAACTGAAGCCTGTACTACGAATCCAGTTCAACAGACCCTGATATGTTTGAGTTACCCGGCTTACCTAACCCAAAACAAACGCGCTCTCGCTAAGCGGTCCTACGACGCTGGTTATCAACTCGTTAACTCAAGCCAGGGTTTCTCTGTCCGGCTGAGTGCGCGTTCACATGAAAGGGGCGGGGCTAGCAACATTTGACCAATCACAAACATGGACAAGCGTACTGACAGCGCAGCGTCATACTTCCTGAATGAAAAGTAAACTATAATATTAGACATATGAAGATGTTAAACTTTAAACATCCATGACTTAAACACTTTACCCAGGATAAAAGCCACATAGCTGCACCTGCAAGGTGAATACAGCTGGTAAAAGAAAAAGTGTTTGAATGCGTACATTAACAGGTTTATGAAATCACTGCCCCGTCCAAGACACGAGTGGATCTGACTTTAATTACATTTGACTCGAGTGTTTCGTCAACTTAATGTGTTGCTTAAAATAATACTTCTGCATCCAGTATGTGACACTGTGAGTGTTGCACGGCCAGATACGGCTCAAGAAGCTGACTCAGATAAGGAAATATATGATACATTATGATGTGATATGATATGAATGATAATGGGACACATCGACGTCTGCACTCACAGTGCCGCGGACTGTACTTAATGTTACTCTGATCCGGTTACTTTCTTAACGCTAATGTTATAATAGTCAGATTGCTCTGAAGATGGGAGGGGATATTCTATTCATTTTCACGTTCACAGTCAGTTGATTTTTGCCGGCCGTCTTTCCTGCAACGGCAGTTTTTCTGTATTTCCTCTATCCTGTAATATGACTTGATCGCTTTAAACTCCGCACACGGAGCTCTGATTGGTCAGCAGGCGGTGCTTTCACTGAGTTGATCTCTTAGCCTGCCACCTAACCTGCTCCGGGCCAGGCTAGCCGTTCAGCATAAGTTACCATGGAGAGCTAGCTCGCTAAAAAGTGAACCAGCGTCGTAGGACCTGAAACCCAGAGTTTTCCCTGAAGTTAGCTCGCTAAGCGAAAATCCGGCTTCGTAGTACAGGCCTCTGGTCTCTCGTTCTGTGCCATACATGTAGATATTAAAGAGGACAAATTATGCTCTTTATCGGGTTCATATTGTCTCCATGCTTTTATGTTCAAAAAGCTCTTTATTTTTCTCATACTCATTCTCATAGCTGCAGCAGTGTTGCCAAGGAAATTCTGGAGCTATTGCAGAACCCAAACATTACTAAGGAGTGAATTAGTGAACGGGAGTGCCTGTGCATGTTCCTGTGTGTTGTCTGTCTCACCCAGCAGCAGCTCTGGAGGTCTGTACCACAGGGTGACCACGCGGTTGGTGTAGCGGTTCCCCTGACTGTTCTTAGCCAGGCTGAAGGCTCGAGCCAGACCAAAGTCAGCCAGCTTCAGGACCCCGTCTCTGGTGATCAGCACGTTGGCTGCCTTCATGTCCCTGTGGAGGATCTGAGACAAGGAAAGGAAATGTTAAGACCAAGACTACAAGACATGGCAACAGTGAGAATTATGATTATGCGCCGCTTTCCCCCCTTCTACTCCAGTTGGACTCAGATGTCGCACTTTTTCTTGTACATGTGATGTTTTAGTGTCGTTTTGTTTATTTCCGTTATCTGTCAAGTGGGAACTAAGTATTTTTTTGTAAGTTTTTCTGTTTCTCTTATTTTCCTAAGACACTGCAATGATTGGCTGTGAATAAGAAAATATGAAGGACAGACCATTTATTTCTATTTATTGTATATGTGATACCTATGCTATTGCTTAAAAATAGCATGATAGGTGACCTTTAAACCGTGAGAAGATACATGTAAATCAGTCCAAAGAGGCAGTGGATGTTCATGTTTACTCTTGTGTCTCACCTTGTTTCTGTGGATGTAGTACAGTCCATTGAGCAGCATCTGCATGACCTTCTTGATCTCTGCCAGGGTGAACTTAACGTTGGCGTTGCTCAGCAGCCCGGCCAGGTCGTGCTCACAGAAGTCAAACACCAGGTAGATGCTGCCTTTGTATCTGTTGAACTGAGTAGCTTCAAGAACAATGACAAGGGAGAAGAGAAGAGAGACATTTAAAACAAGTGCCGTCACTAAATATCCTTTCTGCTCCCCTCCTGTGACCCAACAGTTAAACCAAACAAACTTATGGCGCATTTCCACTGCAGGGCCTCGCACGGCTTAGTCCGGTATAGTTAGGCCTTGGTAGGCCAGGCTCACTTTATGCTGCGTTTCCATTAGTTTAGTAGCTGGGGCAGTAACTATAGTAACGCAGTGTGGGCGGAGCCGTGACGTCATTTTCAATGCGAAACACAAAACCAACATCAGCCGTTAGCTCTTAGCCCTCAGAGCTCACAGCTCCTCATATCTGTTCAGAAACTAGACAAAAGTGAAACAAGTACAAACCACAGACTGCCTGTGTCATGGTGAATACAGTCGCTGCTTTATTTATGTCTGTAGGCCGTTGTTGTGAGTGTGGACGGTCGGAGCATATACAACGTTAGCTTAGCCAATCTCCATTTAGAAAACACGCATTTTAAAAGGTTTTTCGCCTGCCGTCTGTCTGCAGACTTGTCAAAGCATTAATTCATGGTTTTTACTAACCGGTATCAGTATGTTGTTACTTCGGCATCATTTTGAAACGTGTATTACAATTTAATCACGGTAAAATATGTTCATTTTGTTATAGTTGTAGCCCCCTTGCTAGCGATTCTCTCTCTAGTTTAGCATACTCAGCCCGGTTGTTGGCCCGGAAAGAACCACGATTTTGGAGAGCCAGAAAAACTGTGAAAAAGTACCCGCTAGCCGAAACTACGCCTAGTGGAAACGCAACAAAAAACGGGCCGGGCACGGCACACTTAAACCGCGCTGTAGTGGAAATGCGCCATTAGATGAAGACAGAAACGAATCGTAAGAGTACGTTTATAGACTCTATATGTTCTCACCAACCTTTGGTTCTGCAGATCTCGATCAGATTGACCACGTTCTCATGTTTGAGCAGCTGGAGGATCTTGATCTCTCTCAGAGCTGTGATTGGAAACTGAAACAAAGCAGCCAGAAGAAGACATTCATTTAATAACCGTCAGGGCTCAACGCTAACTTTTAAAAGTGGTTGCCATTTTTAGTCACCTTATATTTTAAATAATTAAGATACTATACAGTTATACATCAACTTAATAATGAAAATGTGACACAAAAGAATGTTCAAATGCTTTACAATAAGTAATTAACACAATTATTTGAAACTTAAGTGGTAGTAAACTTGTCCACCCTCAATTGCTGGTATACAAAAAATACCAGTAGTGCAGCTGTTGTCATGTTCTTCACAGATCCCTCACAAATGAATTGAGCAAGACACGAGTTTCTTGGTCATCCATTGTCTCCATTTCAAATGTGGGTTCTTGACCTTTGTGCTGACCCCCACCATAGATCCATTAGCCCTTCAGCATTGAAGTCTTGGATTGGCCAGACTAATACATTTCTAATGTTAAATAAATTAAAACCATTCACAGTTAAGAATTGGATATTAATTATTAATGCTGTAAATTACTTATTAATATGTCAAACTATATTTAAAATGTGTTACCTTTTTATAGAAGTGATTATATTTGTATGCCAATATTTTCCTATGGTAAAGTTTCATTTTGGTAATAAGATCGGTACTCTTATTTTGAAGGAACTTTTACCGTTAATGCACAACGGAGCAGAATGTACACAATATATATTTCGCCTCCCAAGACTTTACACATTTCCTCTTTGCTTTTCGTTCATCTTGCGCTTTATCAGTTAAATCACTTTGAACATTCGTTTGAGATGTTGGCGGGTTGGCCGAACTTTTTTACCCCACAGTCAAACAACTTAATTTGCTTCGCCATTTTTTGTAAAACAAACACACGGCGCACCGCGCACGCGAGTAAACGTACATCGCTTTCTGGCTCCGTAATCACACCAATGCACGTGCAACTTAAGTATCAGGTTCCGACTGGTCACAACAATAATTAAATATCACTCTTAATACAACAAATAATTAACATTTATCTATTTTGGGGTGCACATTTTGCCGTTTGCTGTCCTTATTTCTTCATGTTAAAAAGTGGTTGCCACTGATGGCAACCAAAGGCCAAGAAGTGGTTGACATTTTTTCTGAATGGTTGCCAATGGCAACCTGGCAACCTTTACTGTCGAGCCCTGACCGTGTACAATCACTGATGCACTAATATGGAATTGGCGTGTTGTCAATAGTAAGGGCGCTTGTCACATCTGACCCGTTTGGTTCAGTTAAGGTTCTCTTACCCCTTCTTTCTCATTTTCCATCAAAACCTTCTTCAGTGCGACCTTCTTCCCAGTTTGTCTGTGCTTCGCTTTGAACACCTCCCTGTGAAGTGGATATTAAAAGACATTCAAAACTATTCATTTAGCTCACAACTTCAATATTTAAACACCTAGAAAGAAAGGAAACAGAGCTGTAACTGAACTACAGTGCTGCTGAATGATTTCTAGCTTAAAATGTTAAGCTTTGGAAACTTAGAGAGTGTTAAAACTACAGACTACAACGTCCCCTCTAACGCTTAAATGGTGTCTGTATACTGGGGATTACAGACATTGGACAGGCTGTGTCCATGTGTCAAATGGGTGTAATATTGGTGTACATGGGTCTAATAACAGTGTAATATAGGTGAAATAACAGTGTTATATGGGTGTGACATGGGTATAATATGGGTGTAATTGAATGTGTAATAACATTGTTACATGGGCGTGTATTAATGTGTAATGAAGGTGCAAGAACAGTGTAATACGGGTGTAACATGGGTGGAATAGGGGTGTAATTGGGGGGTAAGTTAAGGGTACATTCTCACAAAAGTCTCCTAGACATAATACAGATAAAACGGTGCTAAAATAAGCCATGTTTACCTCGAACTAAAGGCATATTGTTGTAGCCTAACTAAACTATGACGAAATACCTTTTGTTGTTATTTAAGTGACTACAGATGGGGTCAAAGAATAGCTAGCTGCATGAATGTGTGGGAGCAAATGATTTCTTAATGCTCTTAATGTTTTTCATTTTAGTAAAGCACTTTGAATTGCCTTGTTATGAAAGGGGCTATTGTGGTGGAACATTACGGGACATAATTCACTGTGTTATAGAGAGTGTGTTGCGCCACGGACCTGTTAGGGAGCGCACCTGTGGTTTGTTATCATTCTAGCTTGAGTAGCATGTAATGAAGTTGTTCCTACCTTTCTGTAAACTAATGGAAAATAAAGTGTGGAGTGCCATACTCAACACGCCGCCTCCGACTCCCATTCATCGGCTCTACACTATATCAATAAACCTGCCTAAAGTTAGCTAGTAGCACAGCTGAGCTACCATTAGCCACACAAACAAACACCACCCACTCAGCGTGCCGGTCACACGGTAAACATGTGTGTGTGTTTCTCACCCGAAGGTTCCTTGTCCTATTTTAGCCATTTTCTCATATTTTGAGAACTCATCGCAGAAAGGGAATTCCACTCCATCGTAGTATTTGGACATGATGGCGGCCTCACGGTCGGGCCTGAGGAGGAAATGCACCTCATTTTAAGACACTGTTGTTAACACGAACGATATAGGAAGGTAACATAGCTCAATAACAATACAGATATGTTAAAAATAGAGTTGTAAATAGTTATATTCTTACTTTTCAGCCACCGCCGTAGCCGCCGCGGCGGCATTGCTTGTTTTTTCTCGCTGCATCTCTGTACTGCGAAACTTCTTCTGTGGTTTTAATGGCGGTTGGAAAACAGCTTTTATGAGCATTTACCGCCACCTTCTGGAATCTCCACTACATGTATTTAATACCTTTAGTTACTTTACAGATTTGGATGAATGATAATTTTAAATATAATCAAGTGTTAAATCAGACTTTAGTTCCACCTGGAGTAAATTCACAAGCTACCCTGCAGTATACACGTGTCTTTACTGTAGGGTATTTTTATTATGTACAGCACGACCAAAAATCGTTTAAAAATGTGATGATTTGAAAGTCATTCAAACTAGCTGCACCTTTACCAGCTTTGATAATATAAAGGACGGAACGTGACATAAGTATAAATACATATGTTATTTTATTTTGTGTTATTATAATTTTGTATTTATTTTAAAAAAGTATTTGTTTTATTATTTATTTAAATATTAATATTTATTTGATTTATTTACATATTGATATCATTTTTTAATTTAATTTATTCACTCATTGTATTTTTACTTGTCATGTCTTTATTGTCATTATAATTTTTTAAGTATTTATTACATTTTAATTATTATTTTATTTATTATTATTTGTTGTTACAATTAACATTTTATTTGTTTATTTAATTTAATTAAAAGAAAATGTCCACGTCCCCCTGAGGAGCTGGTGGCTCCAGCCCGGCAGCCCCTCCTCCTCACCGTATTTTGTATCATGATTTTTTTTAATATACTTATTTTAATGTATTTATATTTTTTGTAATTATTATTTTTTATGTATTAAAAAAAGAAATCTCTCTTGTTTAAAATACATTTTTGTTTTTATTATTATTTAAATAGTAAATAATATTTTGCCTACTGTTTATTCATCATCTGATTCTTTGTAGTACATTGTCAAATAAAAATAAAAAACACAATTAAAAAAACGATTATGTCCAAACACACAAACACACCGCTTTCATAAATAACACACTTGCTCTGCAATGTCATATGTTTCCTGTGATGTCTGTAAGACCGCAGCCTAACAAAATAAAGACGAAACAGGAATCAACTCAATCACTTTTATTGTAAATTATGGAAAAACAAACCATCGAGTTAGGAATTGTGAAGCTAGTGAGTTACATGAAGAAGACATAGTAAGTATTTTTAGGAGGTGTCCATGGTGAGAACGCTCTCCTCCACCACCTCCAGGTTCAGCGGGGTCACCACATTCGACAGCACGCCTGTGGTTCCTCTCTTGTACTTGTAGTCACCGGTTCTACATCAGGGAACACAGGTTTCAGTTAAACACATGTTTACAAGAGAGAGACACACTTCAGCACAGACACACATTAGTTAGGAAATCAAACTCACGCCAAGAGGAAAAGGTGGTTAGTACGGGTCGGCGGCATCGATAAAAATCACTCTATTACATTTTATAGCTTGTATATTTCCCAATACAGTAATTGTTCTGTTATTTTACTTAAGAAATAGTTTATAATCATTCTGTATTTCATCGCATTAGAGTATTTTCTGTTTTGATTGGCATTATGTGAGACATCTTCAGTTAAAAGCTGAAAGTAAAACAGCATTTGTGAACTATTTTTTTCCGTTTTCTAACCTTTAATAGGACACATTCTTGATCATAAATATCTTGGTTTCTTCTTTTCTCTAAAGTTCTGTTGTCTTACAAAAAACCCTATATTTAAAGGTGGGGTAGGTAAGTTTGAGAAACCGGCTCGAGATCGCTAGAATTTGAAAATACACAACCGGAGAAAATCTGCCACTTCCTTACAGAGCCCCTCCTCCAACACACACAAACGCGCACATGACCAATGAGGGCACGAGATAAGTTTGTGCACAGATGGAAGGCTGACAGGCAGGTAGGCCATCCAGTTATTTTAGCCGGGCCGGCTCAAATGATTGGTCGTGCTTTTTACAGTTCTACAGCTTCTACAAATGACATTTTTTTATGGATTTGTTGTCAAAGCACTTATATATAGATATTCATTGCTATCGGGATGTTAAGAGCATTCCATGGAATATAACAAAAAGTGTATCTCGAGCCGGTTTCTCAAACTTACCTACCCCACCTTTAAACATATCTTATTGATATTTATTTTCTCTTGTTTATCCCCTTTGCATCCGATATGGAGGTCATCTAAAAGTAACGGAGAGTAATCCGGTTACTTTTGTATACTATAGTGATACTAATGGCGCTTTTCCACTGCAGCGCGTAGCACGGTTTAAGCGTGCCGTGCCAAACCCGGCCCGTTTTTTTTTTGCTTTTCCACTAGGGGTAGTTCCGGCTAACGGGTACTTTTTCACATTTTTTCTGGCCTTCCAAAATCGTGGCATGACTTTAAATTATCAACAACTCCGGGATAGGATCTCTACAGACGGACACATTTCTACCTCTTCACGGTATATCTGTCATATCCCCCCCCACCCTGTAGGTTAGTCGCACGCTCAGAAGTGAGAGGGGGTGTTAGCTGAGCACTCTGTCACGCCACACTCTGTACTCACTGCTGCACGCCTTCACGCTCAGTTAGTCTTCAAGCAGAACAAGCAACAAGACAATAAGTCAGCCACAGCTCGTCATGACTCAATCACCCAGCATGCTTAGCGTCAAAGCAGAGCTGCTGTTCATCATGGACTCATAATGTGACCGTGTGTGCAACGTTGACATTGATTTTAGGATGTGTTAGTGTACATTTTTTATTATAATTATAATATTTATTTTTATGCATGCTACTTAGGTAACATTAAGCTGTCTTTGGCTCTTTTCTGCTGTAACAAATCTACATTTCCCCTCTGTGGGACGGTATTCTGATGTGTTTCTGTCTATGTCTGTGTCTGTGTGCGTGTGTGTGTGTATCTCTAGTTCACTTAAATACAGAAGCAGTGTTGGAATAACAGGATTTTTAAAAAGGTGCAGACCATATCCAGTAATATTAGGCGTTGCAGTCAATCTCAAATGTGACCGACAAACGCTTTGATATTTAACAGAATAGAATTGGGAGGGATGAAACCCTCTTTAAATGGTCACACATGCAGAGCACACAGCACACACAGTGACATTTGTTCTCTGCTTTTAACCCATACTATTACTAGGAGCAGTGAACGAGGAAAGACGACGCTGTGTCAGCTCTTACTGCCTCTACGTTTTAATTACAACTGGAACACCTCGGGATCTGGCTGTAATGAAGGTACATTCAGTGTGTGTCCCCCCCACCAGGATCATTTCCTCACCTGACGCCCTTCTTGTTGGCCTCCTCGTGAGGCCGGATGTAGTCCAGGTTGCCCTTGGTGATGACACACAGGTCGATGTTGCTGCCGGAGCCCAGGTCGTTAAAGATTCCTGCAGCGATGGCGTCTCTCACCAGCCGCTTGGCATCCTCCTCCTTTCAACACAGAAAAAAACAAAAACAAATAGATCAGCATTGATGCTCAATTAGAAAATCTGATCTTTAAAAAAGGTGTGTGTGTTGTGGGTGGGGGGGGGGTTTACCTCCATGTCAGGCTTGTAGCGATCCTCAAACACCGCCATGGCAGCCAGAGAGCCAGAGCCTGCAGAGAGGAAATCATGTTTATAATTAGGCCATCAATTAAATATTGTATCACCCTCTTTAAGTGATGTCAAATCTAGAATTTGGAGTTATTTTCGAAGCTAAGGTTCATTAGAAATAAACCCGAAGGAAATTGTTGTGCCGGAGTTACAAAAATACAGCATAATAATAAAACTGTACACTAACAGTGCAGTAAAAAGAGCAATTCAATAACTACAGGAAACATAGACGGTCACATCATCAATGTAAACAGAGATGGAGGTTAGAGGTGAGTGTGTCGTGTCTGAGACGTACCCATGGTGACGTAGGGCAGCTTGTCAGTGGAGCCGTGGGGGTAGATGCTGTAGAGGTGAGGACCGTTACAGTCCACTCCGCCCAGAACCAGAGCCGCCCCGATGTGGCCCTGATACCTGAAACACACACAAACAGGATTTTAATTATCAATACTTGCACAAAATTATCAACCCTACCCCTACACACTACCCCTCCGTTTGCGCTGAGGGTCCGCCACATTAAGTGCTGTTCCAAACCAACGAGTGTGGAGAGGTGTGGAGGGGGAGTGGGCTATCAAGCCCTCAAACAGCGAGTCTGCATCGGTGCCGACTGGAGACCGGTCTCTACCTGACCGGAGTCACGCTGTGTGTGTCCGTCAGGAAACACGCTGTTTACAAGTAGTTCCAGCAAACATCCACTGATAAACTGCGATGTTAACAACCTCATGATAACCTCATATTTTTTTTAACTTAGGATCATACCTGTGTTTAGTCTAGAAAAAGGTAAATGTGTGCATTTTATTATAAAGTTGTGTATATTTACAAACTGTTGCAAAAACTAAGAAGCTTATAAACATCAGGTTTAAAACTAAAAGAGCTTTACAAAAAAGTAACACAATGAAAGATGTTTGGAGTTTTATTTGAGTTCTTAATTTGTATGTTTTGTCAAAGAGATGCTGATTTGAAACCGTTGTTACATACAGTTACGGCATTTCCTGTTTCTGCCGGAGAGAGGGGAGTTTGGCCCAAAGCTTGCCGCTGTTTTTACTCCCTCCATCTGACAGGAGGGAGCCTCGTTTAGCTGCGAGTGTCAGTCCACAGAGTTCACTCTGTCACGGAGGGGGAGTGTGTAGGGGTAGGGTGTAGGGCGTGGTTTGGGATTGGGCCCCAATGTGAAGAGGTGTGGGCAGAGACATTTAGACTGTTGCTAAGCTCATATTACAGCCTGCTGTCAATTTACTTTCTCTTTCTGATCGACATGTTCGTATTCGTCCTTCACCACAAGTAAGTCATATATTCATTATTTTGAATAGAGGTTTGAACTACAATTTGTACAGGACAGTTTTAACTTTACGAGTTGTTTATTTAGTAGTTTGTTCACATCGAGTTGCAGCATTTATTTGTGTATCTTTGGCTGTAGTTGTGGGGAATTGTTAGGCCTGGTGTTTTGTTTCCTTCCTTTAGAAACACACACTTTGAGATAATACTGTAACACCATAAGTGCACGAGCATCTATATCCAAATGTATATTCAGTTAAGATTAATAAAAAGGACTTTTCTGCCTTCGTTTTTGACGAGAGCTCCCTATTCTCATCTTATCTTCCTAACCAGGAAGAGCGTAATTACAGGCCACTTGGATTGAAGCCAGCCCTTCTACTAAAACTTTGATAAGCTCCATAAAGCATTTGATACATTTTATTAGGCTACTTTAATATCCAAACTCTTAATTAACTTTTTCTCTACTTTTTTTCTAAAGTAGTATTGATAATATAGTAACGTTACTGGCAGGACTGTTGATACTGAACTATAACAGAAACTAATGCGCAAGTATCAGCCGTATCTCGCGTTACCTAATGCAACTCCACACTACGTCTTACGGTGCTGTGTACCGGAGGGGAGGGAGAGAGAGCAGCGAAGGGGGGGAGGGAGAGATGTAATACGGTTTCCTGATAAACATTTTGTTTGATAGGTGCTAGCTTGTGTGGGAAATGCCAGCCCATGGCCTCAGCTGTGGAGAGTATGTGCTACAGGGAGGTGGATGCACCTCGCACAACGCACCCAGGAACTAAAGCTAGCTCCGGTCCTTTTCCTGTTAGGGAAACTGTGGACTCGATGTCCTGACAGAAGCTCACCACGATTACAAATGGTGCAATGCAATGTGAAATTACCGAAAAAATACCAGCTCACTAAATCACAACCGCTCAAACCAACTACAAACTACTACCGTGAATTGGGCAGAGAATGAGTCCGAGAAAGTTGCTTCCCCATGTGACGTAATATGACGTGTTTGACGTATGACGTTTAAAAAAAAAAAAGCAGTTTTTAGTAGCAGAGCTCAAAACGTCTTCTTTCCCCTCTGAATTCCTGCCCTTATGTCTCGTAAAACTTATCAAATCCTGCATTGTAATTTTCAGGCAAGGTTAAGCATAAATCTAGTAAAAAAACAACCTGCAAGTTGCTCTTTAAAGTGCAAAATAGGTCAGTGTTAGGCCCTCTGGCATCTAGCTTATCACCATAACAGTAACACAGAGGTTGCATTTGTATGCAGATGACACTGTTGTAGTCAAACATGCACGTGTTAGCAGCTACCAAGCTAGCAGTTGTGTTAGGATCACTCACTGGTTCCAGACAAAAAAGTAGTTAGTAGTAGTAGTTTTTTTCAAAGTCATGGCACAACCTCCTAACAAGGGAGTCTGTTTTCAACTGTTCAGGTCCCTTTTAAAAAGATAATAAATATTGCGGTGTGTACCTGAAGAGCATCTGTTTGAGCATGCGGTTGGCAGTGGCCACGCGGGGCACCCGTCCTGTGGAGAGGGCGTGCAGCTCCAGGTTGGAGGAGATGATCTGAGTGGTCATCTCCGTGTCTGCAGCTGTTCCTGCTCCACAGCAGCTGCACAGAAACACAAGCAAACAGAGAATAAGAAACCAAATCACCAATTTCTTTCAAAGTAATTATGTTTAGGCACGGAGCAAATGTAGACTCTACTCGAATTGTGTAACGCCTATCCCCAAAGTTTGTGTTTGTCCATCAGAATAGACAAAAGTAGTGTGTAACTTGGTGGTGGAAACGTACTAGATGTTAGGGGAGATGTGGTGGACACTATTAGATGTTAGGGGAGATGTGGTGGACACTGCTAGATGTTAGGGGAGATGTGGTGGACACTATTAGATGTTAGGGGAGATGTGGTGGACACTATTAGATGTTGGGGGAGATGTGGTGGACACTTACTAGATGTTAGGGGAGATGTGGTGGACACTTACAAGATGTTAGGGGAGATGTGGTGGACACTTGCTAGATGTTAGGGGAGATGTGGTGGACACTTGCTAGATGTTAGGGGAGATGTGGTGGACACTTGCTAGATGTTAGGGGAGATGTGGTGGACACTTGCTAGATGTTGGGGGAGATGTGGTGGACACTTGCTAGATGTTAGGGGAGATGTGGTGGACACTTACTAGATGTTAGGGGAGATGTGGTGGACACTTACTAGATGTTAGGGGAGATGTGGTGGACACTTACTAGATGTTAGGGGAGATGTGGTGGACACTTACTAGATGTTAGGGGAGATGTGGTGGACACTTACTAGATGTTAGGGGAGATGTGGTGGACACTTACTAGATGTTAGGGGAGATGTGGTGGACACTTACTAGATGTTGGGGGAGATGTGGTGGATCTTGGAGCAGTTCTTGTCAGCCACCACCATGCCCTCAGTGGCTCTGGTGTCAGCTCCCAGGATGACTCCATCCTTCAGAGGGAAACACAAATTATATTTTACACGCAAAGTAAAACACACGTCTTCTAATAACTAGCCTAGCTGCTGACAGTCACTGGTTTGTTCTAACATGTTAACTTAGTTAGGTGACTGAGTGAAATTTAGACCGTGGTATAATAACCAGAATTACCAACCACTCAGGGTGTCGTACCCCTTAAAGCTGACCTATAGATGCATATCTTCTTAAAACATTTACTAAAAAACTACTTCACAGGTGAGGATTTAGGGACTAACTAATATGAAAAAACTATCAGCATCGGTGTTTTAGAAGTCTTACTACATGTTAATCAGCATGTCACTCACCTTAAAGACGATACCACAGATGGTGGTTCCTGTCTTCCGGGCAGTAGGCAAGCTGCTTCCCACTTTGTTAGCCTCACCTAACAGATATGCATTTCTGAAAAAGATAAAAAGCACATGTATAACTGTCACTGTAAAAACAACAGTTCTCTTAATAACCTGAGGCTACAATGGCCATGTCATTTTAAAAGTCTGTCGGCTGCTCAATTCCCTTAAAAAAAATGTGCTTAATGGCAGGTCATCAATTGCTTTGTCTGCCTGAGGTGTAGGGGCCAAAACAATGGTACACCTGTTTTGGAGCCGTTTTTGTAAAAGAACTGCCTAATAGCATTTTTTTTTACTTGTCGGTTGATTTTTCATACTACATATACAGTGATGTTTGGTTTTTTAAGTGCCTGCTGTTCTGAACCAATATACTTGTCAAAATTAAATTATGCACATACATGAAGTGCAAAACTACATACAAACAATTGAGTGCTTTACCAAATCAAAAACTCCTAGTACACGTGAAGCCAATTGTATAACTGTCTAAGCTGCTGCATCTTGTTACTTAGCACTTGCAGAGTTGGAAGAAGTGAAGTGTAGGAATACTCTGTTACAGTAAAGGTCCTTCATTCAAAATGTCACTCAAGTAAAAGTAGAAAAGTATTATCATTAAAATATAGTTAAAGTAGCGACAGTAAAAGTAGTCATTGTGCAGATTGGTCCATTTCAGAATAATGTATATGATATGTTTTATAATGATTGATCATTAAAGTGTTCTCAAAGCTGGTAAAGGTGCAGCTAGTTTGAATGACTTTGTATACTGCAGGGTAGCTTGTGGATTTACTCCAGGTGGAACTAAAGTCTGATTTAACACTTGATTATATTTCACATCATTCATCCAGATCTGTAAAGTAACTAAAGGTATTAATACATGTACTGGAGGAAAAGTACACGATGTACCTCTGAATTGTAGTGGAGTAGAAGTACACAGTAGCATATATGGAAATACTCAAGTAAAGTACCTCAAAAGTGTACTTAAGTACAGTACTTTAGTACATTTAATTAGGCACTTTACACCACTATGCACTTGGTATATAGTCGATTAAAATAACAGATGTGTCGGTGTAAAGTGTCTAAATCCAGTCATCTTCTCTACAGTATGAACTAACGTTAGCTAACAGTTAACTAGCATAATGTATACAAACAGCCGAATATAAACAGGTCTGAGAAGAAATGCTACACCAGGACATGTTTGTATAAAATACACGTTATATAAATGTCAAACCATAAGATATGAAGCGTATTATGTTCAAACGTAAATAATACTAGTAGCGCGGAAAAGCCTTAGTCATTGTATGGTTGACATGAGTTAGCATCACTAAGAAAAACCCCTCAAAACGCGTCTATTTCACACAACGTCTCAAAATAACAGCCACAACCTCATTCTACTTAGTGAGGAAGTTATTGTGAACAGGTTTTCCTTTATTAAAACGTAGCTTACCTCTTGCAGTGATCGAAACTGAAACCCCCGACCGGTGGCTGGTTCACTATTAATGTCGCCATCTTGATAAATGAAGTGGGGTTTGTTTCCCGGAAGTAAAGGAAGCGGGTCTTCTTCTGTGGTGTTTAACGGCAGTTGGCATGTATGTGATTTTGCATCGCAGCCTCCCTCTGGAGCCAGCTTTGTACTGCGACCATCGTTATTGTAGAATATATATTTTGTCTGGACCAGTGTCCTTTCATCAGAGGAGGAAAGTAATTAAGTACATTTACTCAAGTACTTTACTTAAGTACAATTTTGAGATACTTGTACTTTACTGGAGTATTTCTATGTTATGCTACTGTGTACTTCTACTCCACTACAGTTCAGAGGTAAATCGTGTAATTTTAAGTAAAAGTTGAAGTACTCAGATCCTGTACTTGAGTAAAAGTAGAAGTACCAGAGTGTAGGAATACTCTGTTAAAGTACAAAGTAGCATTACATTGAAATACTCAAGTAAAGTACAAGTACCTCAAAATTGTACTTAAGTACAGTACTTGAGAAAATGTACTTAGTTACTTTACACCTCTGGGTACTGTTATCATAAACATTCTAATCATAGCATGTATGCAACACTTATACAGTGGTATATATATATATATATATATATTTTTTTTTTTTTTTTGAATGAAAGATAATTACAATATATATATTATAATAATTTTTCATTCACAAAATTGAGTCAATAATAACTAATGATAATCTAACACACACAAATATTTTTCAACAGGTTAACTTAATGACTGTACATCAACAAAGTGAGAAACAAATATTAGCAGTTTTTGTATTTTACACTTTCTGTAACAACCTAACTGTGCTGGTAAACAGGAGTGTTCCTGAACCCATACACACGGCCTGTTCTGTGTTTTTAATCATGCTTCTGTGTTTTGTTCACCAACAGGACAGGTGCCAACCCGATGCCAGCTGGATGTCAAGGTCGGAAAGGAAATGGGCTCCAGTCAGGTGGACGAGATCAGATAGTGCGCCTCCAAAACAAGATGGGAGCATTATGTTGATTAAGCTTTTTATTAAAGCAGAGTGGGAAAAACAGGTGGATGAAGGTGTAATCGGTGGATCTCAGAGACTGATAACACAGGTTTAATGGGCTCTGACCTGAACCTCGTCATACACTTCCTTCATGTTCCAATACCTTATGTTGGGGATGTGAAATCATGACTAACGTTTTCCTGCTGCGTCTGTCCACTTTAGCACCTCTTCAACCTTCACTTTAACCACCAGAACCCCTTCGATACTGGAACTAGCTTTACTAATCAATACAAGCATCCCTATTACAATGCAGGGTTAGACAAAACAGATGGCACTGTTTAATTAATGTATAAAGCCGGGATCAGTAGTGTATCCCGGCGTAGTGGTATAGTGCATTGGTGTTAGAATCAGGGGGTCACAGGTTCAAACCCCACTGCAGTCAGCATGTCGTTGTGTCCCTGGGCAAGACACTTCACCCCAAATTGCTCCTGTGGGGATTGTCCACAGTATTGAGTATGTAAGTCGCTTTGGATAAAAGCGTCTAACAAGTAACATGTAATTAGTATCTTTATATTCACCATGTATCAGTGGGGGTCAGAAACGCAACTTTATACAAATGAATGATAATATTGCCTTGTTTTAAATATTTTACACTAGCAGAAACTACATTTTCCTCCCTTGTGGAACAATCCGGATTTATCTAATCAATTTCCGCACATAGACCAGAGATCCATGTTAAGATAGCACAGTCTCACGGCATTTCGTGTTATAGTCACGAAATTAATCTATTGATTCGTGTTCACCAACACAATTTCGCCATTTTTTTCGTGTCACACAACAATTTTAAAAGCAATGTAAATAATAACAAATTAGAAGGGAAAAACACATTTAAAAAAATACAGATTTCAGTATTCTGAGGCTCTGAGCCATTTCTTTTCCTCGCGGACGGCAAAAAAACTCAGACATTATACAATTTAAAATAAAAGGGATAGGGTTAGGCTTAGGGTAAGATATTGAGTAAGAACATGTTTTTATGAACCACACAGCTTCTGGTCTCCCAAGACCCGACCAGACAAAAAGACGTGTTGCAGGCACGAAACACACTACCAATAGAAATACATTGCTTTTAAAATCGTTCTGTGTGACACGAAAAAAATGTGAAAATCGTGTTGGTGAACACGAATCAATAGATTAAATTAATTTCGTGACTATAACACGAAATGCCGTGAGACTGGGTTGTAAAATCACACACCTCAAACACACTTTCCATAACAAAATCTTAATTTATTCTCACACCTTTTGCAGAAGTACGGCAATGGCTGGAGACCAATTCTTTTTATTGCCTATCATCTTCCTTCTTTGGCTGCTACATGTTATTTTCCGCTTCACTTGGTTTAAATATACACAAATCAACAATGGATCTGCACTAAACAAGCAGTGCGTTACTTCTGGTAGCCTTAACTCTTACCAAGAAACATTTCATGGTGATCTGGAAATAAAGGAAAACCACACTCACTTTTAAGTTCCTTTGTAGTTTATTTGAATACAAGTCCCATTTACAATATAATTGTATTGCATCATTATAGTATCAAAATCATATCCTTGTATTTGACATCATTTCAGCAAAATGCCTCCGTGTGCAGACAGAGCTTTGAGACTTCACCAATTATGTGCAATATGTGCAATATATATATATATGCCGTTAATAACTTTGCAATATATACCTGGCTGCTAAATCCTCAGATCTGTTACAGGAGGTGTATTTTGTAAATTGTGTAATTTTTCTTTTGAATTTGTTATCTTTAATATACATTTTTTATGCATGCTTCTTAGTTAATATTAAAGGTCACCTATTATGCAAAATCCACGTTTTCATGTCTCTTCTACATCAACATGTGTCCCCTCTTCTTCATGTCTCTTCTACATCAACATGTGTCCCCTCTTCTTCATGTCTCTTCTACATCAACATGTGTCCCCTCTTTTTCATGTCTCTTCTTCATCAACATGTGTCCCCTCTTCTTCATGTCTCTTCTACATCAACATGTGTCCCCTCTTCTTCATGTCTCTTCTACATCAACATGTGTCCCCTCTTCTTCAGGTCTCTTCTACATCAACATGTGTCCCCTCTTCTTCAGGTCTCTTCTACATCAGCATGTGTCCCCTCTTCTTCATGTCTCTTCTACATCAACATGTGTCCCCTCTTCTTCATGTCTCTTCTACATCAACATGTGTCCCCTCTTCTTCATGTCTCTTCTACATCAACATGTGTCCCCTCTTCTTCATGTCTCTTCTACATCAACATGTGTCCCCTCTTCTTCATGTCTCTTCTACATCAACATGTGTCCCCTCTTCTTCAGGTCTCTTCTTCATCAACATGTGTCCCCTCTGTGTAAAGAGATTCTGAAAGTTTCAGGAACAAAGATTCTCTCTCTTTTTGTCCTGATCCATTTATATAAAAACCTGTCTGAAAATGAGCTGATCAGATTTTGACCACTTCATGATGTCATAATGATTTTTTGGCTTGTGTAACCATTAGCCAATCAGCAACCAAGGTAACCCCCCCCCCCCCCACCTTATCACCTGAATCTCCTCCTAGAGCACCATTGAGTTCTTTTTAACCAAATCTCTCTCAGAGGGGCGTGGGGAGGGGCTCCTTATTTTCATCTAAAGTAACAGCCAGAGAATCAGCACTTTGGAAACAGGGCTGAAACAGAGGGGATTATGGGATGCTGCAATGATCTGTTTGGTGTTTCAGCCAATCAGAGACAGGCTCTGGATATATCTGAGTCCTATAATATATTGATGAAAAACAGTATAATAGGGGACCTGTAATATCAGGCTGTATTTGGCTCTTTTCTTGCTGTAACAAATGCCCTCAGTGCGACAAATAAAGGTATTCTGATTCTGACTCATGCACAGCTGCGCTTGGCGTGCAGCATCTCGATGAGCAGGTTGTTGCAGGGCACCCCCCCACTCAGGTGTTTGCAGTACAGGTAGTCTTCGGCCAGGGTACTGAGCGAGCGGATCTCAGACAGACAGAGCAGCAGGTGAGCGAAGCGTCCAATCAGGTGAGAGGAGGTGCTCAGTGTGTACTCCAGCAGGGAGGATTCAGCCTGCTCGTGCACACTCTCAACAAACCGAGGGTCCTCCAGCTGTTTCACATCTGCCCGGCAACAGAGAAAGAATGAGCAAGGAATGTCCTGTGTTTGAGTGGACTAAAGAGTACAATATTGCCTTTACAATTAAGTGGAGTAGAAGTACAAAGCAGCATAAAAAGGAAATACTCAACTAAAGTAAAATCATGTTAAAATAAAACTTAGGTCTTGTACTTAGTACGTTTACCTGAAATCACATAAAGAACACTTTAGTTATTACAGAGAAGCTTTTTGTTGTTTAAAGAAGTAAATCAATTGTGCAAGAAGCAAATGTACTTGCACCCGTGACGTTTCAAAAGTAGGGTGGTGGGAATTTTATGAAGATAATACATTTTAGACCCTTAATGAACATGTGATTAATTTAGAGACTTAAAAACAACCCTTTGATCCAGATTATGGACTAAAGACTCCATAAATACCTTTGAATCTGTTGTCACCAACCTGGGTTGAAGAGGACGAGGAACTTGATGCAGGCGAACTCTTGACGGTCCACCTTCAGGATGTGCAGCTTCTCCACCAGATCCTGTCCTCTCTGGACCAGGCTGGCCAGAGTGAGACCGGCATGAGAGGCAACGTAGGACAGCTCCATCTGAACAACGAGACAAATGAACTGACATCAGAACAGACAGAATCCCTCTGCACTGCAGCTTTCAAATGCACAGGTCATACCTCCTGTCTAAAACAACATACAAGGTTTTGGGTTGGGATTACGTGTGTAAGGGTTATGTTTTTCATCCCTAAAATGTACACAATCACTCTCAAAATCTCATGTCAGCCCACCAAATATTTGCAGTGTTTTCTTTTTGACAAAACCCAGCATAAGTCAGTTATCATCTCTAAATAATTGCAGACAAAATAACAGCAGTGTTAACAGAGAATGTGCAGTTACACAATGGCTATTTTCTTTCCAATATACTGGTCATTTAAAAAGATTTTGGACATTTTTAAGGTTTTTATTGCC